GGCCGTGTCCGGTCCCACAGCGGAACAGGTGGTTCGGGAGTCGTGGGTCCAGGATCTGTACCCGCTTGGTGCAGTTGCACACTTTGGGTGCGGGGAAGGGGAGGCCCAGGCGGAATGCCAGGGCTATGGCGAAGTGCGGGGGGGCGAGGCGGAGGGAGGGGAAGAGTGGGATAGCGAGGAGCCAGTCTCCTGCGCCATAACCAGTGAGGGAGAGGAGCCGTTGTGTGTGGCCACTCTTGGGGTTGAGTTCCATCTCCCGGGTGGCCGCCAGCAGAGCAGCAAACCGTGCCGCGTGGACTTCCAGGGCGAGTCGGTGCTGGAGGGGCTCGTCTGAGGGCTCCAGGCGCTCGGCTCGCAGGAGCTCCAGGGCCGGGGCCGGGAGTGCTGCCTCACATTCCGCCAGCCAGGTGTGAAGTGGGGTGGGGCTGGTGTAGGGGGGTGCGAGAGCACATGCGGCGGTCGCCAAGGGGCCGGTGGGGTCCGAGGGGAGGGAGAGCAGGAGCCTGTGCGCCTGGGCCACGCTGGTCAAGAACGCATGTGGACCGTCCACTGCTGGGTCCACTAAGCCCAGGCCCCCTAGGGAGGGTGGGAGTGAGGCCTGCTCCCAGGTGCGTGCAAGTTCCCGCTCTCCCCGTGGTGTCTGGAGTTTGCAGGAGCGGAGGAGGGTAAGGAAGAGCTCCCGCCCCCAAATGGACCATTCCCCCTGTGGGAGCAGGTTCAGTGGGGTTGTGCGGGTGAGGTAAGATACCCGCCGCGAGACGCAGCGGTGGAGGAGGAGGGAGGCGGACTGGGGGTCCATGGCGGCGAGGGCGGGGAGCTGCCTGGCCATGTCAGCCAGCTGCTCGCGCAGGAACTGAGCCGCAGCCTCGTGGGGGCCGATGTGGCTGCCCAGGACCCGCAGTCCAGAGTCGCGGAACGGGATGCCGGGGGGTAGGAGGGAGGGGGGAGGTTGGGATTGGGACCAGGCCGCGCACTTAGATGGGTTGTGCGTGAGGCCCAGGGGGGTCAGAGCGTCAGTGAGGTGCGTGAACGCCGCTGTGCACACTGCCGGCTCGCCTAGCAGCGTGATGTCGTCAGCGTACGCTAGGCACAGGACGCTGGGGTACGCTGCGGCGGTCGCTTGCAGGGCGGGGTGCATGGCGGCGGCAAAGAGCAGCGGACCCATAGGGTCCCCTTGCCGGACGCCTCGAGCGCTGAGCAGGGGCGGGCTGTTGAAGCCGGCGTCGAGGTACAGCTGGGAGGGGGCGCCGTACGAGAGTTGGACGAAGGGTAGGAGAGGGCGGAGGGGGGAGTTATAGAGGCCCGAGACGATGGCGCTGCGATCGACGCTGTTAAAAGCGTTGGTGAGGTCGATCTGTAGTAGGAGCGAGGATGGTCGCTCGGTGGCGAACGCGCGGGCCCCGTGGATTATTGCCTCTCCGCCGGCCTTTACCGCGACGCCGAACTGCAGTGGGAGAAAGTGATTGCGCGCCCGATCCGCCATCGAGATGAGTCCGGCTTTGGCGGCAAGGCGGTGGAGGCCCTCGCCCACGGCGATGGGGCGCGTGCCTCCGTCGGGTTTAGGGAAGGCGAGTAGGCGGCTGGCTGTGAGGAGTGCTGCTACGTCAGGAGTGGAGTCGCCCCGCAGCAATTGAGTTACGAGGATGTGGAGCTTGCTGGCGACGGCGCTGTTGGCGAGGGCTGCATCGCGAATGTGTTCGAAGCACATTCCCGAGGGGCCCGCGCCGACCCCGTTTTCGCTGCGACTCAGTAACCTGGTGAATTCTGCGAGCGTGAGGGAGGGGGGGACCTCCGACTCGTCGATGTGTGGCCAAGCGAGTGACTCAGTCAGCGGCGGTGGATGCTTGGTTTTCAACGCCTCGAGGACTTCCTGGGTTGACTCGCTGACCGGTGTCGAGTCGAGGGCCAGCAGGGCGCGCCTCAGGCTGCCTCGGCGGACCAGCCCCTCGGCTCGAGATATTTTGCCGAGGGCGTCCCCTGTGTGACGTGGCGCCGGTGGGTCGTGGATGGCGTCCACTGCTGCCAGGTAGAGCTCGTGCCAATCGCCTGCCAGGAACTGCTGGAGCCTTTTTTTCACAGTGGGCCAGTCAGGGTGCTTTGGCGAGTTGAGGCGAAGTGTCAGTCGAGGTGCGAAAAGTAACAGGCGCCAGCCTGGCAGGCTGGTAGGTTGGGCTGCGAGGTGGAGGAGGGGTGTCAGCAGGACGAGGGCGAAAAGCTGGCGAAGTTTGGGGGGGATCTTGCGGGAAAGGGGGGGTTGGCGACTGTCGCAGAGGAGCCCGATATCCCAGCTGGCTACCCCCGCGAAAAGCTGTTCGTTGGCGGCTAGCTCTGCTGGCGGAATTTGTCGCTGGGGTTGGCTGGGCTGTTCTGTGAGGTCCCGCTCGTTCCGTGCGTTCGGCCTGTTTTCAGCCGCGGGAGCTGGGGCGTGCCGTGTGCGTCGCGACGCTTGTCCCCGAAATGCTCCGTCTCGAGCGTCCCCTTCGGATCCCTCAGTGCTTGACTCGTACTGTGGTTCCTCTCTATAAGTCGGGTCCCTCCTCTCCTCCTCGTCAGTTGCTTGTTCCCTCCGTCTCGCCCTTAAAGCCCGTCCTGCAGCCCTCTGGAAGTCGTTCACTGGCCCTCCCCCTGCCGTGAGCTCGTCTGCCCTGCTGCGCTCTCTCCGTTGGCCTCCACCCCGTCCCGGGTCTCCTCGCGGCGTTTGTCGCGGCCCGAGGCGCGTCCCTGCCGTCGGTGGGGTGCGGCGGTGAGAGCTCGATGGGAAGCGAAGGGGGGTTTCGCGGCCGTCAGGGGCGATCCGCCGATCTGTCGAGCTCTGCTGATAGCGGGCGCCCCCAAGATCTGGCGAGCTCGGCCGCCTACTCCGCGCTGTTGTGGGAGCGGGGGATCCCCGCTCTCCGAAGCCAGCGGCAGTCGCCGGACCCCGTGTGTTCCCGTGCGGGGAGTGGTTCGGCGGCGCCTGCTCTGCGCGGCGAGCAGGGAGGGACCCTGGGGCCCGAGCGCGCAGAGCGTAGCGGTGGCCCAGCGGGGTCGTCGCCTTGCCACCCGCTGTCTCGGCCGCCGTCACCGCGCCCGCCGGCTCGGCCGCCCTCCCCCTGTCTGCGTTCGTGCTATTCGTCCCCACGGCGTCCGTCGCGTCCCGCCTCCCCGCGTCCGCCGTCGCGTCCGGCGTCCCCGCGTCAGCCGTCGCGTCATTCGTCGCCGTCGCCACCATCCCACGCTCTGCCTCAGCGGCGGACCGAGCCGCTGCCGTCCTTGCGGCTGCCGTCGCGTCACTCTCCCCCCCCGCAGCCGGCTCCCCGCCGATCTCCGGGCCGTCTTGGTCCGCCTGCTGCGCAGCCCTGGGGGACTCCTGGGGGCGGCGGCCGTGCTGGACCGCGTCGCGGCCGTCGCGCCGGCCTTGCCGCACGGACGGCGGCTCTTGAGCGCCAGCTGGCGACCAGCGCGCGGACCCTTGAAGGCATTCTAAGTGGCGTTCAGGCGCTTGCTTCGACCGCGCCGATGGGAGGGGCTGCACAGACCGCGCCCGGTGCGTTGCATCCGCGTCCGTGTCATCCGTTCCCGCCTCTCCTCGCCCCTCCGCATCCGCCGTCGCTGTTTCCGGCGGGTGCGCCCGTGTGTTTCCAGCCGGCGTCGGCGCTCCTGGGACCTCCGCCGCCTGTGTACCGCGGGGCTCGTCTTCCCATGGCGCCTCCCACACTGGACACACCGGCGGCCTCCAGTGGAGCGCTCCCCGAGTGGCAACCACCTCCGCAGTCCTTCGTCCCCGATCACTGGGCTCCTGGGCTTCCCGCCCGTGCGTCGGGTGTGGGGGTGTATGGGCCCTTCGTGCCACCCCGTCGACTGGCGGTGTCCCCAAATGGAGTTGAGGAGGGGGCAGAAGCAGCGGAGACGGGGGGGATGGAGTCGTCGGAGGAGATCTCCCCCGGGTTCCGTGCCCAGTCCCGGACCCAGCGCCCAGTGGGTACGCGGAGCCAACCGGGGGCGCAGGAGGACGGTCTGCCAGGCAGGCGGCAGACGGGGCAGGTGGTCGCGGTTCCAGCAGCCACGTTCCGTCGGATGTGCCAGACGAGGAGGGCGTTTGGGCTGCTGGCGGTGGTCGTGGAGGCGACGCACTCCGCGCTGCTGGGGTCAGAGAGCTCCCGAAAGATGCAGCACTCACACTTGCGGACGAGTTCGGACGCGCTTGCAGACCTCGTGGTGGTGATGGGGCAAGCGCTGCCCGTGCCCGGCCCGGGAAGTGGCTTGGACCCGGCCGTGGCCGCCGCAATGAAAGCGATGTCGGAGAGCATCGCGTTGGCGTCAGCCGTAGATCTCGCAGGCAGCTGCGCGTCCACGCTGCGGGTGCTGGTGGGCCTACTGTCGGCGCAGCTGGAAGAGGCCGTGGGGTTCGAGTGACGGGGTGGCGTCTCGCGTACGTTCGCGGCCGGCCCGCGTCAGCGGCCGTCTGGGAGGTTGGCGAGCGTCCCGTCAGTAGTAGGAGTCCCTCCATGCTGGTGGCATTGGATCGGGCGGTGTAGGGATTTGTTGTGCCCTTGGGGCTTGGTGCTTGTATTGAAAACGGAGTAGTCGTTTCCTGGTGTTCTTGCCGTCCCCGAACGCGCGGCCGAAGGCCGCGCTGCGAGCGGCGGCGGCCGGAGGCCGCCGACGCGAGCCGCTGGCAAGGAAGGAGAAATGAGAACTGAACTAAAAACAGAGGAGAATGAGAGGGAGAGGGCCTTATATAGCTTGGGAACCCATGCTCTCTCTCTCTCGCTCTCTCTCTCTCGCTCTCTCCGCTGGCAAGGAAGGAGAAATGAGAACTGAACTAAAAACAGAGGAGAATGAGAGGGAGAGGGCCTTATATAGCTTGGGAACCCATGCTCTCTCTCTCTCTCTCTCTCTCTCTCTCTCTCTCTCTCTCTCTCTCTCTCTCTCTCTCTCTCTCTCTCTCTCTCTCTCTCTCTCTTTCTCTCACCACTCTGCCTCATCTCATCCTCCTCCCCCTCCCCTCCCCCCCACAGCTGCTGTACAAGTACCCGCCGCACAAGAAGCTCGCTCTCTCGCCCTCCGACCTGCCAGGCTTCTGCTTCCCCAACGGCGTCGAGGCGAGCCCTACTTGTCCGCTTCTCTGTGCCGCGTGCCCCATGCTGCATAGCAGCTTCTAGCAGCTAGAGGGGGCATGAACCGCTCTTTCAACTTTGACACAGCATGAGCTAGCCTGCATCGATGAGCTCTCTAACTGTCTGTTACGGCCATTATCCCATATGTCCGTGTTATTCTCACCCGTGTTTTCCTCTGCCTCTCTATCTCTCTGTGCGTGGCTGTGCGGCGTGCAGGCGCGCTGCATGGAGAGGTCGCCCTCCATGAAGGGCTTCCACCAGTCCATCTACGGCCAGGTGCGCCCCCCATGCCCGCACTCCATCCTCCACCCTCATGCCGCCCTCTCTATTGCTTCGATGAAGGGTGCATGCAAGCAGGCATGAGACAACGACGGTGTTTCTCCCGCTCACCCCCCACACCCCTCTCCTCCACATGCACCCCTGCCTGCATTTCTCCACCACTTGCTCCGCCACTCTCGCTCCTCTCTCTTTCATCACCACCCCGCGTGCCGTCCTCCCTCGCGTAATGAGGGAGCGACTCAAAAATCGGCTCATTACACACTCTCTTTCATCACCACCCCGCGTGCCGTCCTCCCTCGCGCGCATCACAGGCGGCGCACCAGACAGCGGACGACGGGGCGTACGTGTTTCTGCTGGCGGTGGACGACAACGTGACGCTGTACGGCGTGTGCATCGTGGTGCCGGAGATCGTGCAGCGCCCGCCCTCCGTGCTCGCCATGAACAACGCGCTGCACGGCCCCAAGCCCCAAGGCCTGCCCTCGCGCTTCCTCGTCACCGCCCCGCGCTGCTACTGCTTCCTCACGCGCATGCCCTTCTTCGACCTGCACTTCGAGGTGCTCAACACGTGAGTCTCCTCCCCGCTTTCCCCATCCTCCCTGCTTTCCCCATCCTCCCAGCTTTCCCCATCCTCCCTGCTTTCCCCATCCTCCCTGCTTTCCCCATCCTCCCTGCTTTCCCCATCCTCCCTGCTTTTCCTATCCACTCTGCTTGCCCTATCCACCCTGCTTTCTCTAGTCACCCTGCTTTCCCTGTCCATCCTGGTTTTTGCATCTACACTCTTTCGCCATCCGCCCTGCTTTCCGCATTCACCTCTGCTTTCGGATTGGCGGGAAGGCAGTGTTTTTGGGAAAGCATCGTGGATGGGAAAAGCAGGATGAATGAGAGAAGCTGAGTGATTCGGGAAAGCAGGATAATGAGAGAAACAAGGTTGAAAGGGAAACGCCCTCACCTGGCCACTGGTAGGCACTCCATTCTTGTGGTGCTTCCTGCTTCCCGTGCTTCCACACTTCCTCACTTCATCTTCCATCCCAGGCCTCTCATTCCCCTTCCACTTCCTTCCAGCCATCCCCTTGCCCTCTCACTTCCTCCCCACTCTTTGCATGCCTCACAATACCCCTTTACCATCCCATCCCCCTTCCCCCCCCTCTTTCCTCCCCCGTTCCCCCCCCCCCCCAGCATCCTGGTGCAGGAGCGCTTGGACCACATGAAGCAGCACATGCGCCGCATCAACGCGGGCGGCCTGCACGCCATGCGGCGCCGCGCCTTCCACCACCACGACCACGACGACGACGACGACGGCACGGGCGGCGCGTCCAAGAAGAAGAAGGACCCCATGTCCTTTGCTGTGCCCATCGCCACGCTCGCCCCCGCGCTCTCCTTCGCGCGCTCGCCCTCCTCGCGCCGTCTGCACGGCGTGATGCGGCTGCGTGACGGCGGCGACTCGCAGTCGCTCAAGGGCTTCAAGAGCTTCCGCGGGCTGGCCACCGTGAAGGGGCTGGGTGGGTTCATCGCCAAGCTGCAGGAGGGGCACGCGGACGGACACACTGCAGGCGCGGGGGAGGGGCAGGGGGAGGGGGGAGGGGGGGAGGAGAGGGTGGAGAAGGAGGAGGGCGAGGAGGTGGGAGTTGAGGAGGGAGAGGAGGGTGAGGAGCAGCTCACGGACGAGGAGGGGGAGTGGGAGGACGAGGAGGACGAGGAGGAGAGGGATGAGGAGGAAGTGGAGGAGGAGGAGGAGGAGGACGACGACGACGACGAGGACGAGGAGGACGAGGAGGAGGACGAGGAGGGGAAGGAGGACGAGGAGGAGGCGGATGGAGAGGAAGGGGAGGACGAGGAAGGGGATGAGGAGGAGGATGACGAAGAGGAGGAGGAGGAGGTGTCGTTGCGGCAGCCGATGCGGCGCGGGCGGCTGAGTGTGCCGGTGGAGCTGCTGCAGGCGCACCTGGAGGAGGAGGGGCGCGCGGGGGGGGTGGGCGGGTGGCGCTCAGACAGCGTGGGGTACGGCATGGCGGGCGGCGACGACGAGGTGGATGGCGAGCTGAAGGAGCGCGTGAAGGAGCTGCTGGGGGAGCTGGTGGGCGGCGCGGGGGAGGAGGAGGGGGAGGAGGGAGAGGGGGAAGGGGAGGAGGAAGAGGAGGGGGGGGGGGGAATGTGCACATGGACGGGGGGTTCACGTTCATCGTGGGCGTGCTGCGGCGCAGCTACCATCAGTTAGGGAGGGAGTGGAAGGAGGAGGGCGCGGAGGAGGAGGAGAGGCAGGGCGACGCCAGCAGGCCCGCCAAGAGCCCCAAGAGCCCCAAGAGCCCCAAGAGCCCCAAGAATCCCAAGAGCCCGAGAATGCGGAGTGCGAGTGGGGTGAGGAGGCAGGAAGGGGAGCACAGGGGGGGCGAGGAGGGTGGGGGCGCGGGTGGGGCGGAAGGGAGGGAGGCGAGTGAGGAGGGGATGGGGAAGGGGCAGGCGAGGCAGGGCAAGGCGGTGTCGTTCAAAGCAGTGGGCGGAGGGAACGACGGCAGGGAGAGCGGTGGGCAGGAGGGAGGTGGGGATGAGGGAGTGGCGATGGAGGAGGGGGGGGAGGAGGGCAGGAGTGCAGGAGGGGGCGGTGGGAGTGAGGGGCGGAGGAAGCGGCTGGTGCGCGTGATGACGGTGGAAGCAGGGGAGGCGAGGCGGCGCGCTGAGAGGCAGGAGGACGGCGAGGGGGAGAGGAGAGCAGAAAAAGAGAGGCAGCGGCTGGTGCGGCTGATGACGGTGGAGAGCGGTGGAGAGGGTTGGGAGGGCGAAGAGAGTGGCGAGGAGGAGGAGGCGGAGGAAGAAGAAGACGAAGTGGAGGAGGAGGATGCGAGGAAGAAGGTGGGGCGGCGAGGAAAGAGGCTGGTAAGGCTGATGACTGAAGAGGTGGGGCGAGCGCAGCGGAAAGGAGGAAAGAAGCTGGAGCGACTAATGACAGACGAGACGAGCGGAGGGGGCTCGGGGGATGGAGGGGAGGAAGAGGAGATGGATACAGTGTGGAAGGTCGAGGAGGATGCGAAAGATGAAGAAAACGAAGAGGAGGAGGAGGAGGAGAGGAAGAAGGTGGGGCGGCAGGGGAAGAAGCTGGTACGGCTGATGACTGAAGAGGTGGGGCGAGCCGAGGGGAAGAGGGGCAAGAAGCTGGTGAGACTAATGACAGAAGAGACGAGCAGAGGGGGGGCAAGGGGAGGAGGGGAGAAGGAAGAGGAGATGGATGCTTTGTGGGAAGGGGAGAGTGAGGAGGAGGGGGAGAGTGAGGAGGAGAGTGAGGAGGAGGGGGAGAGTGAGGAGGAGGGGAGTGGGGAGGAGGGCCAGGATGGGGATGGTGGCAGCTTTGGGGCTGGAAGGGCGTCGTTCAAGCTGCGGCGCTCCATGACCGTGGATGATGATGACGACCCGCTAGGGCCCTCGCCCTATAGCCAGTATGGCGCGGGTGGCACACGCGACGGCAGGAAGGGGCGCGCAGGAGCGGGTGCCGTGGCTGGCGAGGGGGCAGGCGCAGCAGGGGTGAAGCTGGGCCGCTTGATGTCTGACGATGAGGATGGGGGCGACGGGGGTGGGGATGAGGATGGAGGCGACGGGGGTGGGGATGCGGATGGAGGCGAAGCGAAGGGCGGGCGCGGCATGGCGGAGCGGCGGGCGTCGATGAAGCTGCAGCGCAGCCTGACAGAAGACTCCGAGTGAGTGAGATGGCACTCCATGGGCTGGCTGGCAGATGGCACGGAGCATGGGATGGCATGGGGCATGGGATGTGGACTGCATGGCATGGCATGGATTGAAATGCATGGCGTGCATGCATGCATGTTGCTTCACAACACCTTCGCACGTGATGCCTCATTGCTCGTGTCACTTGTGTTCCACAATCACCCCACCATGCCCCCATCCTCACCCTCACTGCACCTCACTCTTTGTGAGCACTCCTGAGGGCTGCCCGCAACTTGACATGGCCTCAATGGCACCGCCTTCCACCGCTATTCACCGCATCCCTGGTTGATGCAGGTCCGAGGACGAGCTACAGGGGTACGAGGGGGAGGGGGACGAGGAGGAGGGGGGCGAGGGGGAGAGCGAGGAGGAGGACTCGGAGGAGGAGGAGGCGTACGAGGAGGAGGACGACGACGACGCCTTCTATGCGGGGCTCGTGGAGGGGGGGGAGGGCGACGGGGAGGAGGGTGAGGGCGAGCAGGGGGAGTATGGGGCGGATGCTGTGCGGCAATGGGCCGAGGTGAGAAGGGGAGAGGGCGGAGGGGCGAGAAGGGTTGGTGGCATCACCGCAAGGCGCCCTCCTTGTTGCGCCTTGGCCACTGGGACAGATCTTGGAAGGGCTACAGCCGTTTGGGGGGATTGTGGGTGTGCTAACCCAGTACACTTCAGATGTCCTTTTAACCCAGTCAGTCAGCGGACGTCCTTTTTTAACATGGTATCAGAACGATTTGGGGTTCAATTCCCAGTGTGAGCCACTCTTGGCCGTCTCCCAGTGCGGGACAATGTTGCAACTGGGCCACTGGGATTGACCCGTGAAATGCTGGAACGGTTACAAGTTTCGTCCTAAGCAGTTCTGGGTTAAAGCCAATTCAACTCGCCGTTTTAACCCAGTCGACTAGCGGACTGGTGTTTGTAACACGCCTATCCCCAACATGCCACTATTGCATGTCTCTGCTCCCCACTGCACCCCCCTCCCCCCTAGCACCACCGTAATGACACCAATCAAACCGTGTGCGCCCATCCTTGTGCGGGCATGCCGTGCTCGCCCATCCCTTTGCAGGCATGCCATGGGCGTCCACCTGCTGCCGCAACTTCTTTCTCACGTCCCATGCCCTGTGCGGCGCTGCCCCCCATCCCCCCCAGGACCACCACAACGACGCGCTGCAGATCGTGTGTGCGTACCACACGGCGGCAGTGCCCCCGTGCGGGCAGGCCATGCTGTTCCACCCGCTGCCGCACCTGCTGCCTATCGGCTTCACGCGCAGCGAGCTGGACATCGACGAGCGCTGCTTCCCCCCCGACGCCGACGACCTGCTGCTGCGGGAGCTCATGCACGCCGAGGAGGCCGCAGGGGTCGCCTGCTTCGCCGTCGCTGCTGCGTGCCGCGCGCTCAGCCTTGACAACGTGAGTGCTGCTGCGGTCGTGTGTGTCTGTCTGCCCGCATTACCATGCCTGCTGGTTGGGGGGCTCTTGCGCGCTGAGGCCATGGGGGTGGCGTGATCCGACTTTTAGACCCCTCGTCCTCTCTCACATGTCAATCTCTCAGCTGCTCAACCTCCTCCAATTCTCGCTCTGCACTTTCTCCTGCCCCCACGCTCTCTCCACTGCACCCTCTCTCCTCCCCTGCCCCTGCCCCTGCCCCTGCACCTGCCCCTGCCCCTACCCCTGCCCCTGCCCCTGCACCTGCCCCTGCCCCTACCCCTGCCCCTGCCCCTGCCCCTGCCCCTGCCCTGCCTCGGCCCCGGCCACCCCTCAGATCCTCACAGTGCTGGCAGCAGCACTGTTGGAGCGCCAGATCGTCTTTGTCTGCCCCAACCTCGTAAGCGCTGCTGCTGCCCCCTTGCTGCCCCCTTGCTGCCCTGTTGCTGCCACCCCGTTGCTACCCTCCTCCTGCCCCCTTTATCAACCATTGCTGCTGCCCCATTGCTGTGTCCTGTTCATCCCTCACCCCCCCTTCTGCTCCCGTTCACCATCCTCGTTTTCCCCCGCCCTTTCCCGCATGCTGCAACTCTCCAGCCACCCGCCTCCCTCTTCCCCCAACCCCTCTTCCCCACTTCCCCACCCCGTTCCTGCCCTCTCGCAGAGCGTGCTGTCGGCGGTGGTGCTGGCGCTCATCCCCATGATCCGCCCCTTCTCCTGGCAGTCCGTGCTGCTGCCGGTCCGTGCTGCTCCCTCCCTTGCTCGCCACTCCTCTCGTGCTGCTTATCTCCTGCAACCACTCATGCTTACCACCTCATGTGCTCTCTGCTCCCTGCTCTCTGCTCCCTGCTCTCTGCTCTCTGCTCTCTGCTCTCTGCTCTCTGCTCTCTGCTCTCTGCTCTCTGCTCTCTGCTCTCTGCTCTCTGCTCTCTGCTCTCTGCTCTCTGCTCTCTGCTCTCTGCTCTCTGCTCTCTGCTCTCTGCTCTCTGCTCTCTGCTCTCTGCTCTCTGCTCTCTGCTCTCTGCTCTCTGCTCTCTGCTCTCTGCTCTCTGCTCTCTGCTCTCTGCTCTCTGCTCTCTGCTCTCTGCTCTCTGCTCTCTGCTCTCTGCTCTCTGCTCTCTGCTCTCTGCTCTCTGCTCTCTGCTCTCTGCTCTCTGCTCTCTGCTCTCTGCTCTCTGCTCTCTGCTCTCTGCTCTCTGCTCTCTGCTCTCTGCTCTCTGCTCTCTGCTCTCTGCTCTCTGCTCTCTGCTCTCTGCTCTCTGCTCTCTGCTCTCTGCTCTCTGCTCTCTGCTCTCTGCTCTCTGCTCTCTGCTCTCTGCTCTCTGCTCTCTGCTCTCTGCTCTCTGCTCTCTGCTCTCTGCTCTCTGCTCTCTGCTCTCTGCTCTCTGCTCTCTGCTCTCTGCTCTCTGCTCTCTGCTCTCTGCTCTCTGCTCTCTGCTCTCTGCTCTCTGCTGTCAGCTCTCTGCTGTCAGCTCTCTGCTCTCTGCTCTCTGCTCTCTGCTAGTCCTTCTGTCTGCACTCGTCCATCCATCCCTCTCATCCATCCATCCCTCTCATCCATCCACCCCTCTCATCCATCCACCCCTCTCATCCATCCACCCCTCTCGTCCATCCACCCCTCTCATCCCATCCGCCCAATCCTCAGATTCTGCCAAGTCAGCTGCTCACCTTCCTCGATGCTCCTGTGCCCTTCCTGGTGAGCCGTGCATGCTGCCTGGTTAGCCGTGCATGCTGCCTGGTGAGCCGTGCATGCTGCCTGGTGAGCCGTGCATGCTGCCTGGTGAGCCGTGCATGCTGCCTGGTGAGCCGTGCATGCTGCCTGGTGAGCCGTGCATGCTGCCTGGTGAGCCGTGCATGCTGCCTGGTGAGCCGTGCATGCTGCCTGGTGAGCCGTGCATGCTGCCTGGTGAGCCGTGCATGCTGCCTGGTGAGCCGTGCATGCTGCCTGGTGAGCCGTGCATGCTGCCTGGTGAGCCGTGCATGCTGCCTGGTGAGCCGTGCATGCTGCCTGGTGAGCCGTGCATGCTGTCTGGTGAGCCGTGCATGCTGCCTGGTGAGCCGTGCATGCTGCCTGGTGAGCCGTGCATGCTGCCTGGTGAGCCGTGCATGCTGCCTGGTGAGCCGTGCATGCTGCCTGGTGAGCCGTGCATGCTGCCTGGTGAGCCGTGCATGCTGTCTGGTGAGCCGTGCATGCTGCCTGGTGAGCCGTGCATGCTGCCTGGTGAGCCGTGCATGCTGCCTGGTGAGCCGTGCATGCTGCCTGGTGAGCCGTGCATGCTGCCTGGTGAGCCGTGCATGCTGCCTGGTGAGCCGTGCATGCTGCCTGGTGAGCCGTGCATGCTGCCTGGTGAGCCGTGCATGCTGCCTGGTGAGCCGTGCATGCTGCCTGGTGAGCCGTGCATGCTGCCTGGTGAGCCGTGCATGCTGCCTGGTGAGCCGTGCATGCTGCCTGGTGAGCCGTGCATGCTGCCTGGTGAGCCGTGCATGCTGCCTGGTGAGCCGTGCATGCTGCCTGGTGAGCCGTGCATGCTGCCTGGTGAGCCGTGCATGCTGCCTGGTGAGCTGTGCATGCTGCCTGGTGAGCCGTGCATGCCGCCAGGTGAGCCGTACATGTCAGAGCCATGTTTGCCTGGCGTGCCGCTGTGTTCGTTCAAGCCAGCAGTGCTGTCTCCTCGAGTCATGTCTGCCGTGCCTCTCTCTCCCCCCGCTCCCCTCCACCCCTCCCCTATCCCCTCTCCCATCTCCCCACTCCCACCTCCCACCTCCCACCTCCCACCTCCCACCTCCCCCCTCCCCTTCGACCACGCAGGTGGGCATGCAGAGCAAGACAACAGAGCTCAAGGACCGAGCCAGCAACCTGATTCGAGTGAACATTCCCAAGGACAAGGTGAACATTCCCAAGGACGAGTTGAACATTCCTAAGGACAAAGTGAGGATTATGTGAACATTCCCAAAAACATGGTGAACATTCCCAAGGACAAGGTGAACATTCCCAAGGACGAGGTGAACATTCCTAAGGACAAGGTGAGGATTATGTGAACATTCCCGAGGACAAGGTGAACATTCCCAAGGACGAGGTGAACATTCCTAAGGACACGGTGAGGATTATGTGAACATTCCCAAGGACAAGATGAACATTCCCAAGGGTAAGGCAAAGCATGCTGCTTGCCACACGTCTGCCATGCCTGATGCGATCCCTCTGCTATGTTTGTTCCACTCTACTCCGCCTGTCCACCCGCCCCACCGCACACCCTCTCCTCCCCCCCCCTTTCCTCCTCGCTCCCCCACCCCCAGCTGAAGATGCCCGCTTTCCTGCCCCACCTGCCAGACGGGGTGCAGCGGCCTGGGTGCTTCCTCTTTCTCCTCTCTGAAACCACCCTGTGCACCCCTCCCCCTCTGCTGCTGCAGGTGAAGGTGCCCACCTGGTTACCACGCCTGCCCAACTCGGTGGACCTGTACAGCTGCCATTCTGAGGCGCCGCGCCTGCTGTGATGCACCGCCGTCTCACCTGCTCTCCTCTCTCCCCCCCCCCAGGTGAAGGTGCCCACCTACTTACCCCGCCTGCCCGACGAGGTGGACCTGTACAGCCGCCTCGAGCCCTTCCACTCCGCGCTGGCCGCCGTGCCGCACGCTGACAAGCGCCCCATCTACCGCACCACCGAGGACCAGGTGCGCGTAACGGAGAGCCAGGTGGGGGCAACAGAGGGCAGGTGGGCGCAACAGAGGACCAGGTGGGGGCAACTAAGGGCAGGTGGGCGCAACAGAGGGCCAGGTGGGGGCAACAAAGGGCAGGTGGGCGCAACAGAGGGCCAGGTGGGCGAAACAGAGGGTCAGGTGGTCGCAACAGTGGGCCAGGCGAGTGCAACAGAGGGTCAGGTGGGGTCCAATAGAGGTGGGTACAGCAGAGGGTCAGGCGTTGGGCACAATGAGGGTGTTCCTGGCACTCATTCCCCCCTCCGCGTGCTCCCTCGGGCTGTCTATCTACTACCTCTGTTTGCATGCGCCTCGTGTGTGTGTGTGTGTGACGTGCGTGCGTGCGTGTGTGTGTGTGTGCGTGTGCATGCGTGTGTGTGTCTGTGTGTGTGTGTAACGGTGGCGCGGGGGAGCTGGTGCGAGCAGATGGCGGCGGCGGACGGGTTCCTGCTGACGCTGCGGGCGTACGTCGACACCTTCTGCACCGATGTGCGCATCCACACCATCACCAGCGTCAACGCCGGCGGCCAGCGGGTGAGCGCCCACCACAGTCCTTTGGTGCGTTCTGCACACTTTAAGGCCCACGTAGATCTTGGATTGCATAATCTTTTTCTTAACCCATTGACTGGTTTGGCATGGCATGGCATGGCATGTGCGCATGGCATGGCATGGCATGTGCGCATGGCATGGCATGGCATGGCAGGTGTCTCTTCTCCTCAAGGAGAGCTTTGTCAACGGCTTCCCTGAGGACGACCAAGAATTCTTTCAGGCACGTTTCGCCCTCTCTTTCCACCATCTTGTGTCCCTTTTGCCAGCTTCACATTTCCTTCTGTTCAAATCCTAATTCGTGTTGTGCTTTTTTGTTGCAGGTGTTTGCGGGTACTCAGCTCTTCACCATGCACATTGATACATTGCTAGCCTCTGATGAGGTCATGTGAGCCTGCGAAGCATCTGCACTACCTTCACAAGGTGACAAAGATGTCCTAATGTTCTGATGTTTATATCCCGTTTGTTATAACTGTATATTTCCTCTGTTTTCTTAGTTGAGTGCTGCAAGTAACACACGTGCAGGTGAACGGCAGAGTTTGTCCTTGATTTGCGGCCAATGGGAATGGAGTCCGAAGCTGCCCTGGAAAGGAAATTGGCTTTCGCTCGACTTGGCCTCCGCCACCTGGATCTTGCGTCCAGTCTCGACCTTTTACAGGGCACGTGAGGCGGAAGTATCACGCCTCTCCGCAAATGGCATGCCTGGAAGATAGCGGCTGCGATTCGCTTTTCGAATCGGGCGATGGCACCTGGCCGGGGCTCGTGACGGTGCACGCGAGCAGTTCCAGTTGCATGCGCGGCGAGCCCACGTGACACGGCAGCAATACCTTCTTCACCCCCCCCCCGCCCCGGGTCAAGGAGGCCAATGTGCATTCGAGCCGCACATTAGCCCCACCTTCGAGCAATAGAATCCGCCCGAGCAGCGAGTGAGCTTTTTCATATACCGCAACCATTTCTCCTACATCCCAGGTGAACTTGTCACTCTGCTGCTCGGTTGGAAATACGGATTCTTGCTGCCAGCCAAGGCCACACCACGCTGCTCCTCCAAGCCCTGAACAGGAACGCACCTTGGCGGTCGATTCTTGCGGCTTCTTAGGCCATCTCTCTCCACGGTTTCTAGCGGGGCCCGGCACATCCCATGGCGTTCCGACGTGTCCTTAGTCGCGTTGCGTCGTCTGTCCGACAGGTTCGAGCCTCGTTCGTTCCGGTTTGACGATCCGATGGACTCTCGTCTCTTTTACCCAACAAGTACTATGCGAAGCGTCCGCTTGGAGTTTTAAAATATCAATATTGTCCGTGCTGCCGCCCTCACTCCCTCCTGAACTCTGCTACCACTCCCCGCCCTCCCGCCCACCCCACCCCACCCCCTCTCCCTCCTCCGCGCGCCACCAGACATCTAAGCCCCGCGACGTTATCAAGGCGGTCGAGGACGCCGCGCCGCACCGCCTCTCATCCACGGTACGCCCACGCACCGCCTCCCCTTCCGACATGCCATCTGCCGCCTTCTCGCGGGCATTGCATTGTCTGGACGCGCGTTGCACATTGACCGGCTGATCTTATCTTCCCCTACTAGCTCCTCGGCCCTTCCCCACGCCCAGCCCTCATTCCCAACCCTGCCATGACCCCCGCCCCTTGACGCGTCGCCTGCGCGCCGCACGTGCAGCTGCCGCAGCGCGTGCCGGAGCTGGTGGATTTGCGCGACACGATGGAGGAGGTGGTGCCGGAGCAGCGCGAGCGGCTGGCGGAGATTAAAGCCAAGCACGGCGACATGGTGCTGGGCGACGTCACTGTCAACATGGTGCGCCCCCCCTCTCTCATGCCTCGGTGCGGTGAACATGGTGCGCATGCCTCGTTGCTCCCCCTCTATCCCTCCCCGCGCCGTCGTCCGTTTCTTCAATCGTCGCAGTCTTTAGCAAACGCGAAACATTACCTTTCGTTGCAACGTGCCACGTGGCAGGCCCTGGGCGGAATGCGCGGCATCAAGGGCCTTCTTTGGGAGACGTCACAGCTCGACCCGCTCCAGGTGCGCCCTATCGCACGACCATATCTGACGTCTATCAGACGCTGTCACCCGCGTTTTTCCTTATCCGCCCCCGTTGTTGAGGATGTATTGGCGTGCTTCCCGTTTCTTTAAGCTCTCCCCCCTCCCTCCCCCCTCTCCCCTTCGCCCCCGCGCCAACGTCCCTCGTCCCCCTGTCCCCCGCCCCAGGGCATCAAGTTCCGCGGGCTTAGCATCCCTGAGTGCCAGGCGCAGCTGCCCTCCGCGCTCGACGGCGGCCAGCCGCTGCCCGAGGCGCTTCTGTGGCTGCTGCTCACGGGGGAGGTGCGTGGGGGGTGACTATAGCAGGGTGACTTTAGCGGGGTGACTATAGCGGGGCTGACACTAACGAGGTTGGTGAAATGGAGTGATCAAAAGCATTTTCAACCGGGGCGGTTTCAACGTGCGGGTGGGGGGATGGGGTCGTTGCCCCACGGATGTCATCAGGTGCGCCGCAATGTCCCCATCCATGCGTCCATCATCCATGCGTCCATCATCCATGCGTCCATCATCCATGCGTCCATCATCCAGGCGTCTCATACCACCTCCTCCACTGCCCGCCATTCTCCACCCAAATCCGCGCTCTCCGTTCCCCCGCCACCCGTCTTTCAACTCTTCCCCTCCCTCGCGCCTCCCCCCTCGCCCCTCTCCCGCCGCCGTGCCCCCCATGGCCCCATCAGGTGCCCACGGAGGACCAGGCCGTGTCGCTCGCCGTGGAGCTGCAGGACAGAGCCGCGCTGCCAGGTGATTATAACGGGGATATTTTGTAAGCGAGGCGCCAGTGATTTGCATGATAGAATGAGACCAGGTGATTGTAACGGGTGTGACTCACTCAAAGTGGCTCCTGGCTTGAGCATTGCTCTCACAACCCCGCTCACCTCTCCTCATGCCCACTACCCTCTCTGCCCCTCTCCCTGCATGCCACGTGGCAGCCTCCGCATTGTCAGCAGGGCTTGCGCTAGCAAACTCAAAACACCTTATTCAAGCTCGCTCCCCCTATTCTCCTCATTACCGCGCCCCCTCTCTCCCTCTCTCCCTCTCTCCCTCTCTCCCTCTCTCCGTCTCCCCCCCTCCCCCCTCCCCCCTCCCACCAGACGCGGTGTGTCAGGTGCTGTGGTCCCTACCCCCGTCGCTGCACCCCATGTCGCAGCTCTCCATAGCCGTGCTCGCCCTCCAACGCACCTCCACCTTCGCCGCCGCCTACCACCGAGGCGCGCACAAGAGAGACCTCTGGCGCTACGCGCTGGACGACAGTCTGGATCTCATTGCCGCCCTGCCGGAGATCGCCGCCCGGATCTACAACCGCAGCTGCAAGGAGGGCGGCGCGCGGCCGGGCGTGCGGGCGGCGCGGGAGGATCTGGACTATGCGGGGAATCTGGCGCATATGATGGGGTTCGATGACGAGCGCATGGACGAACTCATGCGCCTCTACCTCACCATCCACGCGTGAGTCACTGTTCATGGTGCTTCGGATTGCCGCGGGCGCTCCGGTATTGCTCCCTCTCAAGCTGCACTCACCTTACCTGGCTGTCTGCTGCGCGCCACTGCCTGCAGGGACCACGAGGGCGGCAACGTGAGCGCGCATGCCACCCACCTGGTGGGGTCCGCGCTCTCCGACCCCTTCCTCGCCCTCTCCGCCGGCCTCAATGGGCTCGCCGGCCCGCTGCATGGGCTGGCCAATCAGGTGAGAGCTGGGTGCACAGATAGGCATATTACTGACTCCCAGCCATTCCTGTCCGCTATGCCCACCATGCCCTGTTCACCATGCCCTGTTCACCATGCCCTGTTCACCATGCCCTGTTCACCATGCCCTGTTCACCATGCCCTGTTCACCATGCCCTGTTCACCATGCCCTGTTCGCCATGTGCACCGCCTCCCCATCCCACTCGCCTGCCACCGCATCTCTCCACTGGAGCACCCCATCATGCCACCTCCCCACTCCCCGTTCACTCTTCCCCACTTCCAATCACTCCCCCTTCCCCCTCCCAACCCCCCCAACACCAGGAGGTGGTGGCGTGGCAGCACGGTGTGACAGCAGAGGTGGGAGAGCAGCCACCAAAGGAGCAGTTGGCGAGCACGTGAGGCAAGGCCTTCCCCAACCCTCCTTTCCCCTGCCCTGCACCCCTCACCTCCCCACCCCCCCCCCAACACCAGGAGGTGGTGGCATGGCTGCACGGTCTGCGGGCAGAGCTGGGGGAGCGGCCCACTAAGGAGCAGCTAGGGGAGCACGTGAGGCGCGGGCTGGCGCGGGGGCGCGTGGTGCCGGGGTATGGCCATGCCGTGCTGCGCGTGACGGACCCGCGCTACACGTGCCAACGGGAGTTCGCGCTCCAACACATGCCAGACGACCCTATGGTGCAGCTGGTGAGCGCCTTACGATTTTTTAGTCGACAAAAAAATCGACCCCATGGTGTGGTGAGAGCCAGACGACCACATGGTGCAGCTGGTGAGAGCTGTTTGGGGACGGGTGCGGCATGCATTGGCATGCCAGAGAGTGGACCTGTTTTTGAGGCGCCTCAAAAATAGACTGCCAGAGAGTGGACCTGTTCTTCTGTTTTTTCTTTCTTTCCTTTTAGGTGGTTGATTTTTTCTCTCACACCACTGTCCTCCCACTCAAGTGCTGCCTCGCTGTACCGCCCATCATGGTTGAAATTATTGCCCCCACTGCATGGTTGCATCTCTGCCATGGTTGCATGTGTGCCATGCTTGCAGGTATCGGACCTCTATGAAGTGGTGCCGCCCATACTGAGAGAGACAGGCAAGGTGAGACGGAGATATGGGCAGGATATGGGCTGCAAGCGGACAGGGGGGATCGGCAAGGGGGGTTGGGTGTGAGACGGACCTCCACCAGGTGGTGCTGCGCATTCTCAGGGGGACAGGCAGGGTGAGAGGGGCAAAGGGGGCAGCGACCCAGGAACGGTTGGGGGGTGATCGTGGTTGCGACCTGTGCCCCATGCTGCCGCCCATATTGACGTTTGGGCGGAGCGTTCCCAGCAGCGCATACCCCGCCCCGTCGTGTCCCGTGCCGCTTTCCTGTTCCCTTCTCTTCGCGCCACATGCCCGTCCATCCCCCGTGCATCCTCTCCTCCATCCCCCATGCATCCTCTCCTCCATCCCTCTGTCCGCGAACCACGTGCATGTGAGCAGGTGCAGAACCCCTGGCCCAACGTGGACGCGCACAGCGGCGTGCTGCTGCGCCACCTGGGGCTCACCAACGCCAAGTGAGTGCGGAGTGATCAGCTGGGGAGCTTCTCATGAGGGGCTAACGACGAGGGAAAGCCAGAGGCTGTGAGCATGCTGTCCTCATCGCCCCCTTCCTTCGCTGTATCTACCGCTTTCCCAGCACTGCACCTCTCTCCTCTCCCCCTTCTCCTCTCTCCCCCCCCCCCACCCCCCACCCGCCGCCCCATCCCCCCAGCTTCTACACGGTGCTCTTTGGCGTCTCCCGAGCCATGGGCGTGCTCTCCCAGGTGAGATCTCGTGCTCTCCCAGGTGAGATCTCGTGCTCTCCCAGGTGAGCTCTTGAGGGGGCGTGGTGGTGAGGAGTTGTTTGCCGAGGTGAATCGAGTGGGCTTGTCATGGGGTGATGTGGTTGCGAGACAGTGATGGGGTGAGTGGTACCTAACAGCAACTCTGTCTTCCCCTCCCCGTCCCTTCCCCTCATCAGCTGGAATGGGACCGTGCCTTGGGATTGCCATAAAATCGAGCCAAGAGCATGGCTATCCCCCTCATACTCCCTCTCTCCCTCACACCCCGCTCTTCCCTCCTTCCCCCATCAGCTGGTGTGGGACCGGGCCTTGGGATTGCCGCTGGAGCGGCCCAAGAGTGTCACCATGGACTGGATTCAGCAGGAGGCTGCAGACAGGGGCTTTAATGGCGACGCTCATCCGGACACGCATGCCACCAAGGCTGCTGTATGAACCGCCATACATCCCATGGCCCAACCTTCCTCCCATCCCAGCCAAGCTGGTGGGACAGTTTCCGCTTTCATTTCACTTGTGCACACACCGTGTGGGGATGGTTTCCGTTGTGGCGTGCTGTTGGATCGCATGGTATTGTCAGCCGTGTAAGGCCACAGCAACCCACTGTACTAAATGTTTGTTTTGTGTATATAAGTGCCAAGAAGTGGTGTTCAGGAACTGATGAGATTATTGAATGTTGCAGCCTCACAGGTTGCCCGCTGCCCGTGTATTGTACAAGCTGACTGAGTTGCTACAACGGTAATCACAACACAAATTGTTAGACCTGACTCATGCACCCATTTGAACTGGTGTATGCAGGGTATATACCATGTGAATTCAACATGTATATACCTACTCCAAGTTACAGAGTTTCATGTTGAGAGGTATAAGGGAAACACCACCCATGCTGCTTCGGGTCTGTGAGGGCGTATTTCAGGCATTTCATCTCCGAATTTAGAAAGCAATGCTGTCCAGCAATGCTGGCCTCCAAAACTATCACTGACAGCTGAACAACCATTTTACTGACAGCAGCAAGAAATCCGGGGTGACACACAGCCAAGATTGCACCAGGAATCCGGTCCCCAAAAGGCCTTTCTTTTCCGTATCTTTATTGCGGTCCAAGTGCGGAGTTGGTGAAACGGGCGATATTTTCTACCCCGATGACTCGTACAGCGTCAGCAGCACGTGTCACGCTGTCAAACCGAACCGTTGGAATTTGGACCCACTCGAACCTTTGGCTTGTCTGTTTGTTGATCGTACAGCTGGTGCAATAAAGAGCACGTGCTTTTCTCCAGGGCTGCTGCTTCTGTGTTTTGTTGTGCACCAGGGCTCTCGCTAAGGCCTGGGGTATTCCGTTAGGTCACGGAATCGGCCCCGAAATTACCCGTTAGCGGACGGAATCTCCGGAACATTACTCATTAATTAAAAACGGATTCGTCGAAGAGCTACTTTTGGTGTGATACTAACAGCCCCCAGGAACTGTATCTCACACATATATGCCTCAGGCGATTGGAAGGGTGGGAAAACTTCCCACTAAGTAGCTTCTAGGGGAGGTGGGAGTGGGGGATACATACAGATCTCCAACTACAAGTGCGATTCGTATGGAATGAAAGAAACGTAGCCCGTAATGTCAGGAAATCACACGAGATTGATCCGTTAGGCAGACAGAATCAGGAAAACGTTATCATGCCGAAAAACGGAATTAGGTCTAAAACAACTCTTAATTTCGCGACATAAAGGATAATTGCCCTGTTAGCCAGTGCGCTGTTGTGCAGCGCACCCCATCACCTTGCTGTTCACGGCGTGCTGGGCCGTGTGCGGTGGAAGTGCGTTACTGTTGAAGAACTTTGGATGCTTGTGGTTGGTCCCTCGCTCCAGCGCGGACATTGCTTGCTTCACCAGCCGCGAAATTCAACCTCAGCCATTTGACGTGCGTTACAGAACACATCCACTCCTGTGTCTTGTTGAGGCGATCTCGCCGCAGGATGACGAAACAGCGGCCTGTGGCTGTCGTTCGTTACAGGTCGGCGGTAATGCCGCATCGAACCACGCGTGGTTTTCGGCCCTTTCCCAACATTTTCGCTTGGCGTGTGCATAACCAATGCACGAGCTTGTCCTCGTTTACACATCAACTACAGCAGCAACCCTACGCAGCCATCAGGGAGGAAGATACAGTGTCTCTTCCTCCTGCCCATAATGTTGCCTTTCCCAAAACCCCGAAGTCCCTAAGTAATAAATTGGTCGTAGTAAAGTTTCTACCCTGTTAAGTTTAGGAATGTTTAGTCTTCCACCACGAAGGAAGTGACCGGGCTTGTCAATGTCATCCCCCAACAAACATCGCTCCCTCAGTGCGGCGCTGTTCATTCGCGTTGGTTGGTGGGTGGGTGTGTGTGTGTGGAGGTGTGGATAACGAAACGATGCCCACCTCTGTTCATCCACGGCACGTGAAGGGAAGGGATAAACTCAAGAGCGCCCAGCAGCAGTTTAGCGACTCGACAGTCACTGCACGGCCCACACCTCGTCCGACTCGAGTTTCCGAGCCAGCATGGACAGAGCTGTGGTGGCGGTGAAGGGAGAGACATCCTACAAAAAGATAAACAATCGAGAAAGGTCAGACACCGTCGTTTAGTTTCGACAGCTCACTCCTCCAGCTCCAGGCTACATCAACTCTGCTCCCGCAACACTTCACAGCTGGAACCCTCCACGCGCCCATCACACGCAGCTGTATCCACTAAGCTCATTTCCCGTCTGAACCTTCCGCGAGTACTACCTAGTGTTTACGAAAAAGCATGGCAACGGCCACAGCGAGTCCGTGGGGCGACGAGTCCGCAGCCCCCCACTTCAACAAGTTCGCGCTGCGCGGATCAGGCGGCGTCGAGGGCGCCGCCATGGGCAAGGACGAGTGGCGCAAGCAGCCGCCCGCGCTCGTAAATGCCGCCGATCCGCGCTTCCCCGACAGCGCGGTAGATCTTTCCGACATCTGTGGCGATTCCGACTCCGACAGCGTGGCGAACCTCTCCGACATCTGCGGATTCAACGACCTCAACTCGCCGCGCTCCGCCCTCTCCTCCCCTCGAAGCGGTCTCGGCAGCGCGCCGAGCTCCCAGCCCAACTCGGCGAACAACTCGGGGGCGCTGTCTATAATCTCCGATGCCCCGTCCAACGCGTCGTCCGGTTCGAACAGCCGCCCGTCGACCGGCCGCGTGTCGCTCGCGCAGCAGCTGCTGCAGCAGCAGATGGGCGGCAACGCGCGGTTCACGTCCGCTAATTCCGGGAGCAAGGGCACCACCGTGGCGTCCGTAACGGGAATAAGCGACTATGGCAACTACAGCGGGTCGCCCGTGACGCCGCTCATGCCGGGCTTCAGCTGCGCGTCGTCGGAGGCATCGGGTAACCAGTCGCCGATGAATCGCGCGTGGCGACAATCGAGCGACCCTCGTGCGGTGTCGCATCAGTCGGCGACGATGAGGGAATCATCGCTTCGTGAGAAGCTCCTGCGAGCCAGCAGCGCGGCTGCCTCAGAAAGTGAGTAACGTGAAACTTTCCCCCTCTTACAGCTGACTATTTTGCTTACTATTGCACCGGCCGGCTGTGAGCGACACATGATTCAAGCGACGAGGTTACTAACCTGTGCTCTTTCCTCTCTCCCTATCTCTTCTCTCCAGCCTCCTCGCAGAGCTCATGGCACGAGCACCAATCGCAAGCCGCGTCCGCCTATTCCATCTCCGAGTGTACCGCCGCGAACGACGCCTACTATTGCGAGCCGGGTGAGAACGAGCAAGGCGAGCTCGACTTTTCCGACATTAAGTCTGTCTGCCTCAACTTCGACGAGGCGCAGCAGCAATCCGAAGAAATGGAATTCCAGCGCGCGCGCCTCGAGACCGTCGACATCGTCCCCCTCGCGTCGGGCTCGAGAAATAGATTTATGTTGGGGGCAGGAGCCAATCTGCCCGAACACGTTCTCTTCGCGCTTACGTTCTCCGATTCCCCCGCCCTTCACCTCCCCGGCGACGAATCCATCCAAAAGCTTTTCCCGAATCACATGCAGCAGCGCGCGGCGCAGGACAAGCCGCAAGGCCCCCCGAAAGGCGCCGGGTTCGGCGGTTACGGAGCCACGAAACGGACGGAGATATTTCCCAGCTACCTAAGAAGCAACGCAGGTAGCTCCGCCGCGGCGTGCGGCATACCCAGCTACGGCAGCTATGCGTGAGCGAGAGCACGCTCGGAGGGCCTGGCTGGTATGCACTAGGGAACGACGACGCTAGCTGGGCGGTCCGCCCGGGGGACCATGATGGTCGGTCGCTCTCCTCTGCCCGGGCTCGCCGCGATGATGAGAAATTCGGCTCGGATACGAGTTTTTTCATCCAGAGTCCATTAGTGGAGTGTCCGCGCCTTGGGAGACTATCGAGGCCCTCGCAGCGACGCAGGCATAGTGGAAAAGGGGCCATGGATGAAGGCGCCGCTAACACCGTGATCCCAGCCAACAGCAGAATCTGACTGACCGGAACATGCGCAGGGACGCGCCGGAGGGGAGAGTCGGGGGTTTTGCGGGGTTGCATGCCGCGACCGCGTGGTGGAAATTGGAATGCTCTCACTTGAGCCGTTTCTGTGTATAGTATATTGTTTGTAGATCTTTCTATGTAAAAATATGCTATATGGTACAGTGAATAATAATTACACATCAATACTTTTACTAATGACAGATTCGTTGACGCCCCCCTCCTCAGTAGGCAAATGATGTCCGACCACGTGTCCTTGTACTGCTCGCGCCACTGCACGACTTCCGGAATTTTCAGGCAAATGTGCACGGTTGCGTCGTGCTGCTCACGTCGCCATGGCAGCCTCTTATAGCGCCTCGACTTGTCAACGCGTGAAATCCACCGCTCTTTCCGCATTCCCTCCCTTACAAGATCTCCGATCTTCTCGAAGCTACTCCTTCCCCACCAGGCTTCGTCTGATAGGCCGCGTGCCACAGCGCGGCGAGCATGGAAGTTCTTCCGCTACCGCGCAGTCAGCCGTTGGCGGACGAATTCCGCGCGCGGCCCTGCGTGTGCGGCGGCTGTCCACGACTGGCGGCGGTCGAAGCGCCGCGTCCCGCGAGTTCCGCAGGCGGTCGAGTTTAGCGCCCCGCGCTGTTCCCCCTGAGCGCGCCAGCCCCCCGGACTCCCCCGCTCCTTCCGCGTCTTTGGGGGACGCCGTGGAGCAAATGAGAGGGCCCGCAGCAGCGCGGGATGCGGAAGGAGGGGGGAGGGACGGTAGGTCGGAGGACGAAGGGGGAGGAGGGTGGTGGGAGTGGGGGACGGGGGAAGGGCAAGGGGAAGGACAGGGGGAAGGGCAAGGGGAAGGGCAGGGGGAAGGGCAAGGGGAAGCAGAGGCGGAGGGGGAAGGGTGGGATGCAACATTTGCGACGTGGCAGTCAGAGGAGGGGGAAGGCGGGAAGGAGCTGTCAGGCGGGTGGTCGTCCGACGAGGAGATGACCAAGAGGTTCCGACTGAGGAACGGGCGCGAGGTGCGCGGGGGAGGGGGGCTTGAGGATTGCCACTTGGGGATGGGATGTGGCATGGGGGATGTCGCATGTGGGATGTGGGATGGGAGTCTGTGAAGCACTATGAGGGCTGCAGACGTTTGGGGGGGTTACCTGTCTCATGGAGATTGGACGGTGGGGCGGCGTGCCATTTGGGGGGGTGGGCCATGTGGGCAGGAGGCAAGAGCCCTGTGCCCGTCC